TGTCGAGGCTTGCTGCTACACTGACTATCTTCACTTGCATTTGTTGTTGTGAATGGAGTAGAAGATCTAGATCATATGTGAAGTCCAAATCTTCTAGTTGCATGCAAACTGTCCATTGTACCCCATGTTTATCCTGAGATATGAAGGTCTTCATAATCCAGTCAACTACCAGAAGACAAAGCAAGGGTAAGGAGTTTTGTCTGACACCGGTCTTCACTTGAGATGCATCTGTCAGCTGTCCTCCATGCAGGACTTTTCAGTGTAGTCCGTCATATGAATTCCGTATGATGTTGACGATTTCCTCAGGCACACCATATTGCATAAGGTCCTCCTATCTACACTGTCAAACGATTTCTCATAGTCTAGGAAGCTGATGTATAGTGACGAGTTCCATTCATTTGATTGCTCAACAATGATGATAGAAAGTGAAGTAATTGAACACATCGACCGCCTCACTTGTCTTGGGAATCTCATCTGTACTGATGGTCTGGTGTCTGACGAATTGTCGACACGGATCCAAAAGCTATTGGCTTTTGCGACATACCCGTCTTCCAACCAAAGGGCGAGTTTACTGCCCAGCAGTTCGTTTCATTTTACTTTCTGGGTGTGAATCATGGGCATTAATAAATAGGGTATATTCTTAGGTTAATGGTATTCAATCATTGGTATCTTCGAAGTATTCTTCATGTATTTTGGGACCACGGAGTAAACAGTGCCTGTGTTGGTGATAGGGTACTAGGTCAGAGTGGCAACTCAATTGATGCGGTAGTTATTAAGACCTTATCAACTAAGGTGGTCGGGACATGTTATTAATGCCCAATTATCGACGGGCAATGTTGTCTGGTGTAGAAGTATTCTGAAAAAAAGCTATGAGCGGCGAAATTAAATCATGCTATCGGTACATTAAGTCATTATGGATTGGACTGAGAGCTATGCTAATAGGTGTAGACTATGTGGTCGGGGTCCGTGTGATTATCGTAGCCAGTGGCTAGAGACTTTGAATGACATGGCTCAAAATCGTTTGTAAAGGTGCAGGTGTATCCATTCTTCTCCTAATCTTTTGAATTCCTCATAATTTTCTTATTTCGTCAATCTATGTTTTCTCGAATCGTATCTTCAATGCTCTATTACCACTGATGTTGCTACTACCTCTATTATTTTGGGATTCGCCCCGAAAATTTTAACTTGCTCTGTTAATGGGTTGTAGAAACTCGAACCGATGTATGTGAGTACCAAGTCCTATGCTGCGTTTGACTGATGTGTTCGTCACTAATGGTCATTAAATATCCAAAAGCCAGGTACATAGTAGTTGATTGAACTTCCGGTTTGAATTGGATTACATTATAACAGACTCAGTTATCTCAGTGGTCATCATTCTTCTGTGGTGTCTAATTCTAATCAAATTCTATCATCCCAGACATCGTATGTGTTTATTGAGCTTAGTGGCACAACGTGCTGTAGTGCTGTTAGACGTTTGTAAGAGATTACCTGAAACTTTCATACTTTTTAGTGTTGGTCAACACAACGTATGGTCTCTCTTAATTACTCTTCTATATTATTTCAGCGCATTGGTTATTAAACACTGACAATCGTTCACCATGATGAACTATTTATAAATCCCTATATTACCTTATTTTTCTTTGGCTTTTTAGATGAAAGTATTAGATCAAAAAAATCGTGCTGAACTAGGTGGTCTGCATTTAAATATTACAGCAACAGTAAATACGTGGACCCATACTAGGCGTAAACGACGAGAAGTTCAACGTCTTCTAATGTCTCAACAATCGGATACGATAAACAATGGAAATCCAACTAATAATGATTCTGTATCCAATGAAATAGATCCCATAGAATGCGGTTTTAACACAAATACGGTCAGTTTTAAAAATCCTTCAAAGCGTGTACATGATAGTAACCCAGATGAAGTAAATAATTCATCGGAATCAATCACACAAGCAACAGCAGAGACAAAACTGAATAGTTCTGTGGTGGAATTGGTAAATCCACCAAAACGAACGCGAGCAACACTTCATGATGAAATCTGTGAAGAAGGTGAAGACGCTTGGTTTGATGGAGATGAATGTGAGAATGCTTCAGCTAACAAAACTAATACGTGTTCAAATAATGAATCACCATCTGCTATCGACACTTGCTCACATGTGATTCAAGCCAATGTATTTGTTGAGTATTTAAACACAGATTCATTTATTAAAGACGTACATGCAAAATCATCTTTATTTCCACATGGAATCAACAACAGTGACGAAGTAATGCATAATGATAGCATTGAATGTGGTCAGACAATTATGAAAGTTAAAAGTGATATAGACGTTAGTGATGATGACGATGTGATTCTTGCTGAAGAGGAACATGGACCATTGGTGATAAAGATCGCTTGGATAAGTGGGACATGTCGAGAGGCAGCTAATCAAATTTTATTTTACTTAAAAAATCGTTTGAAGTGATGTTCTACTCTATATTCCATTTTTTTCACTATATCTGGCTGGAAGAAAATAAAGTATTTTTGTAAATAAGCAGTTGCATTTATTTTGTATACATGTTTCTAGCAAAGTAGTGTTATCATATGCTATTGTCATTATTTTTGTACATTAAATACACCAAGCTTCATAAAATAAGCAGTGATTTTTCATCATTTTTATCATTTTGAGGTGAAATAATGTATATGTTACAGTAGTAATCAGCGATTCCATTTTTCTAACATTACAGATTACTTAACAGTAAAAAACTGCCCCACCAAGTCGACACTGTTAATGGCGAACGCTTTGTATATCATGTCAGTCACCATGCATATTATCATAATAACAAAGTAGATATACAGAAGACAATCGATATTTTCATTCAGATTGCTAGGTAGAAGCGAAATCTTTTTGGACACGCCTTGCTGGGGAAGTCGTTTGGGTGTTGACTGAACTTATATTTAATTGCCTACGAGTTGCATTTTGTTGAATCCTGAGGAAATAATTAAGAAACATTCACATTCTACACGTTATTCTGATAGGGTTTTTAACGTAGAGCAAATAAAATGATTGACAGAGGGTATTTAATCGATTACTGATGGTAAGTTGGCCGAGATTTGTAGTTGAAGAGAATGGTTTTCCTGAAATTGTGCTCTTTGCTTTGGGCGTTTAAGTCGCGACGCTTTCATTGTCATCCAAAACAAAGTCATTACAAACCTCAGTTAGAAGTGAGCTGTAAGGAATTCTCTGAGTGACTAGCATCTTGTCACGTAGACCTTGGAGTTGACTGATTGTTGCCGATACGTCCCAACGTCTGCACATTTACGCTGATTGTCCGCCCTTGATCTTATAGTTGTTTGTGACTTTTCTAATTTAGTATCAAGGCCCTAGAAACTCGTGTTTTGATCTTGTCCAATATTTCAAGTTCCTCCTAGTAGAGCCTTAAAGTTGCCTACATGTGTTGACGTAAGTGAAGATGTATCATAGTGTTTGATAGCCAATGAGTGTTTATTTAGAGAACTATCAAAAGAGCGGTCGCTCTGGCTGATGTAATGATTTTCAAAGTTGGGGTAGTATATTTCGCAGTTGTTCGGCTTGTCGTCCTCTGTTATTTCGTTTAGCATAGAATTGATTTAGCTGAGTTGTGAATGACGTCTTTTTAATCTGGTTGTATTCGCTGTCTTTAATATGTGTTAGGATCATCCGTTCGCTACCTTCCACACTTAGTTCTTTGATAAATTTGCGCGTATATCCGTTCTTCCGGAAAAATTTGCCAGATATCTTCATTTCCACAGTGTATCTCCACTCTTCTAAATAGAGTTTATCCTTAGTTGATTTGGCAGACGTTTGCTGATATAGTAGAGGATTCGATCTTTTGGGTTGTTCTGTGACAAACCTGAGTCTCAAGCTGAAGTTTATAATTAGTTTACCACCAGTAGGAGCAAAGATTTTTCAAATTCCTTCATACTATGTCTAATGTTGAAAATAATACGGTATAATCCGAATAATTATAGTTTGTAATGTCTAGTGGGTATGCTACAATAATTTATTGTTTAATGACTGATAATAGACACTGCTTAAAGTATGTCCGGGATGGTTATCCTGGACAAGTTTTGAACATAAAATACCATCTAATTATGCTCCAGAAAAGATCGATGCGATTCTGGTCGGATATGTTCATAGTTACGTGTAAATGGTGTAAAATCGGCCCTAAATGGTATAGCATTTTACCGTGGTTCCACGTATGATACTTGTGTGATCTGCAGAGGTGATCCTAACGGGAAAATCAGTTATTTGGGTGGAATTTTAGATCATGGGTTGCCTAATTAATAGACTTCACACAAAACAAACAAATTTAATTTTTGTCCAAAATATCACTCATATCTATAGCTATCACTTAATATTGTCCCGACTAACCAGATTTTACTGGAAACAAACTAGTTCGAGTGATACTATTTTTTAAATAAGATGCATTGAATGTTTTCCTTACCGTAATTGACCTTGTTCGTTTGAAGGCAACGAAATGAGTTACTACCATAAATAATATTAAGCTCAGGGGTATTGTAATTTTTATTTAGATTTTAGGTGAGTTAGACGGATTTTTTGATTAATTTAGTGTAGCTTGTTAATATTATCTAACTTCAGCAGTTGAGTCTTTGAAAAAGTCGCTTAGTGGTTGAACAAATCAGGTTTCATACATTAGCTTTCCCGTAAGAACCCTGGTCTACCTAATTCAGTTTGAGTAGCTGGATAGCAGTATCGCAAGCCTTCATACAATATGGCTCAATGTTGAGTGCATAAACATCTACTTGATGTTAGGTGGTAGTCCACAGGAAACTCCGGACCTACGTTTTGTGATAGTTGCAACTTGTCAGCAAGGCTACCTGCAATGTCGAGCATATTGTTGATCCCTCAGTATTTTGAGCCCATGACATTTAATTGGTAAGTGAGTTACATTCATATTTAAGCGACTAACTCTCCAGTACATCCCATACTTATTCGATGAGAAAAAACTAAAGTATTCTATTGATTAACGTTTATGTGAAAGTATAACGTGAAACTGATTAGCAATTGCCTTATTTAAAAGAATCGATCAGATTCACGTAATTTATGGATAATAATCTTTGTAAGAAGTAGAAACATTTATCTAGAATATTTGATATTGCAGAAAGAACGTCTTGTGTGGATAGAGGAAAAAACATTTCCAAAAAATATGTATTCAGATTTTTTTCTCGTATTTTACAAATGTTGTCCGGTACAGAAACTTTCACATCAGCTTTATGTGATTACTCTGTATTAAAAAAATATGGTTCTACATAGATCGATCGTTTGCTTATTTAGAAGAGAAAAGAACTACGAAGGTAGGTGAAATAAATAGTTTTTGTAAGGCATAAAATGAACAAAAATCATTACTTACACAGGACGAAAGATGGAACAAAGAGTAAGAGAGGGATACAAGGCATGTGCAAGTGCATTTGTTAGAGCACACAGGAAGAAAATAGATAATCATTCAACTCTAGGGATTAGCATTGGCGAGCTTGGGTGAGATTTTAAACAAATCAAATAATTTCTGGTTAGTCTAAAAGTGATTGGTACTTATCACAATATGTTTGTGTAGGTATATGCAAGTGCATTTGTTTGTGTAGACCTATAAGGTGTTACTGCATATAGAAGAACAAGAATTAATTTCATTTAAAGAAAATGAAGGGTATTCTTTCAAATCACCTTTTAATCTTATCGACCGCGTTTTACTCACGGTAGCCTTAAAAATATTCCAGCTAATCTACTCCAGTCAATATCATCTGCGACTTGAATTTGTGTTTTTGTCTCCACGAAATGTATCAATAATTGATCGATCAATTGATCTAATCTTGATTTAGCTGAAAATTTATTTTTGTGGAGAAAACTGAATGACAAAAATCACGAGGTAATACTTTTTAAGCAAATATGTCATAAGTTTAGAATGAAAAGAGCATCAATCTATTTGTTAGTCATTGGACAGGATCGATAAAGCTATCAATAAAGGCGTCAAACGAAATGAAATGATTATAATACAGTGAGAGGATAATCATTTGGAAATGAGTAAGATGATAAATTTTATGATGACATAGTTTGAATACCATGAGTGAGTCAGTTCATTCAGTAAGTGAATCCTACTATTGATAAAGTAACCTAAAACGAAACTACACCCAGTTTGCTACTGGTTTTCTTTATGAGCTATGTTCGTTAATATATGCGGTTACTGAGTTACTTGATTTATAAGATCGCAATGGCAGCGAATCCCAACTCGATACAGTCATACTTAAAATGCAATATCATAAATCAATCCTTTTTTACTTTTTTACCTGGTATATACTTCAACAGATAGTACTCCGTATGGGATTCACTAAAATTGACGTTTCAAGATGATATAATTTATTGAAACATCATCTCCACTAGGCTGAACCTTACGGTGGATCCTTTTGCCAACTTATACGAATAATAAATTTTTGCGTTCATATGCCTTTGACACTGACAGTTTATGTATTATTCGTTAGCATAGTTTACATAATATTGTTTTGTTTGAATGAACTAATGATTCATTTGTACTTGTTGAATGCTTGACTTCGAATTCCAAATGCATTACATTCGTTCGTGCTTACCTAGTACTTCTTGATTCGATTGCGTTATTTCTGGGATTCTTAGTTCGTACTATAATTCAAATACTATGAACCAACTAATTTAACTAGTAATCAGTTTGACACAAAGAACCCTTCGCATACGGAAATAATTAGTGAGTATAATTTGTTTTGACAGGCTCTAACATATTGCAACTACTGTCATTTAAAAATGTTTGAACTTTCTTTGACCTTCAGTTAAAATTTCTGAAGGAGGACAGTTTACATATTTCAGCGGTCAGCTTATTCAATCGTATCCTGGTGATAACTCTATACAAGAGTATACAGTAATATTTTGTCTACATATTGGACATATTCAAATAATAAAAACAAAAAATAGGAAGAGAATCTTACTGAATATGTCGACTTCATGGTGTGTGAGCAGCTTCCGAGTCAATTTCTTGGCGACCGATTTGAATGCATCCTACAGTATACATAAAAAAATACATCAAACAGATCCCTATTATTGTATTGAATTCATGACTAAAAATAATCTCTGTCGAAGTAGTGACAAATATCAGGTTACTATTATCAACTTATAAATTGGACGATATCGTAATTATAAAAACATGAAACACTGCTTGTTGTTTCTTTCTTTTCCTATCAGTTATTGAGGTCCACATTGCTTTTAATAAGGTGATTATTATATATTTCCCAACGCTATATAAGTACTATTTAACCAGAAGCGCTTGTTCATAAGTTTTTATTTCCTCGAGACAGTAAATGTATTCTTAGAAAAGTTAGTTTTCACATTTTGTATCTATATACCGAGAAGGTAGTTTTATTAGGTACGAATCCGCTTTGGGATTCGGAGTAACGATTGTATCATCCTCAGAATAGTTCAAAACAATCTGATAATTGATTATTATGCATATATTTTCTTTTTTCCGAAATTTATATTTCATTTTTGTATCTACCAAACAAATATATGGGTACATTTAGATTCCAGGGTATACGTAAGTTACACATGTAATGAAAATTAAGGCATACCTAAAACTTTAGCGTGGAAGTCGAGGCAATTATAAATCTACCACCGAAGTTTTGTGGATTAGTGTATTTAATGGCTGTGAGTGTAATAACAGCTTGATTTCATTGATAAAAGTATCATAAACTATGTACAACAATTATCTTTACGTTATTACTAAAATCACGCAGACCATATATTATAGCTGAAATTATATGACTTGCAAAAATAAAATGATGCCAGAATTTAGAATTAATTATTGTTACAGACAGAGAATCTTTTGAATACTCAATTCAGTCACAATTTGTTTTAGAAGCACCATGTAGTCGACACTTTCAAACCTATCGTCAAGTTGAAGTCCGTTTAAACAAAGTAACAGTAAATAAACTCATTTATCAACATAGTGACGAACAATTATCCTTTTTCCAAGAAAAACCAACTAAATCCACTTAGGAATATGTATATATAGCATTATTCACTCCATGAAGTTATTTATCAACTGGAAGAATTACAGTTGTGTAAAGAGCTGAGAATTTCCTGATTTATAGTTTTAAAAATGATAACATCTCTTAGTTAAAAACTCAGTATTGCCCATAACAAGATACACTTATTTTCCGTTATGTTCCTTGGAAATTAGAATATCCAGTCATTGTATACGTATCTATCCTGTATCTACATACGCGTCTTTTTGTTTATTCTAAAGCTTCCTCACCAATTACAGATATTTTTATGGGTTACTGAGAACTGTTATAAGTGAGACCGAATGATCCTTGTGTGTGATTTGGGATGGCTGTTGCATCTCCCTATCTACTTCTATATACTAACTGAATGACTGAAATTTTTCAAAAACAGGATTTTGTATTAAGGTAGTGTGTATGACATAAAATGCTAGTTTAATTACCGACGCAGGATTTCATTCTTTGATGAAGGTAAAAGTGATTATTGCTTAGTTAATTATGATATTAACGTTTAATGAAAACGGTCATACTATAAGTTTACACAAGAAAAGTAGGTGATAACCAATAGAAGACTTATATCAATTTATAATCATTAACTAGAAAAATTTGCAATGCAATGTAAAATACCTAATTAGAAAAATGAATATTTATGGTGCGAACAATTTTCACATTGTCACTTAGATTATTTAGAAAGCTCTGTACTTTTTTAGTGCATACACGATTAAAAAACTGCATATTCCACATACTGTAAGTTATATCACCGACCTTTAGGGAGAAAATCAGCCGTAAAGTCAATCCCTTGTTGTGTAAATTAATAAATGTGCTTGGAGTGGATCGTACCTAGGCCTAAACATGTATTTAAAAATATTTCTTCAAATCACCGTTAAAAAAAACAAGACAATTTACTTTGTTTTTGAATAAACCTTTGGCAAAATGACGTGACAGAGAAGCTACTACTTGTTTGGCTAATTCAGCAGTAGATGAATTCATTTCAGTAGATGCAGAATTCTACATAGAGAAAAGGAAACAATAATAGTGTCAAATCGAACAGAATCTTCTTTTAAAGTAATAATTTCTCTTTCTACAGGCCAGAAATATTAGAGTAATTTAGTCTGCAGAATGATGAGTTGTGTGTCAAAATCAATTAAACTATGACATATTTTTGAGCGCGGGATTGTTATACGTCGAGCGAGAATGACTTTTTACTGATTAGTGAAAGAAAGGCAGATCCGAAGATAGTAAATATGTTATATCATATTTTATTGTAATTTTATTCTGGATTCACTGTGTTGACTACTTGTCTGGTCTATATTTTATTTCCAATCTTTGATCGGATATTGAGCACATGAGTCCATGTGACCTAGTGTATTATCTACTGGTCGTATAATCTCGTATCTATTAGCGAGTGTTACCAAATTGTTTTTTTTAATTTTTGCTATTATATCACATTATTGACTGTAGACAAATAGAAAAAGAAATACCTGATCTGATACGCACCAGAAAGTTATCGTCAGAAAGAAATTCGAATAAATGAATTGAATTACATAATTAGTACAAGAAAGGAGGTAAAAGTTTAGCATAAAATATAAATACAGAAAAATAATCATAGCTATTTGCAGCAAGATAATACAAGCATCTAACATTGATATTAGATATCGTATATAACTCATACAGCAATAATCTAACACTAAATATATAATCAATATCTAATATATAAGTAGATTGGTACTATTCATTGAGCTGGACGACATCAGACTAATTGAAAACAAGTTTTTGTAATGTGTTTAGTGATAAATAACTAAAGGAAGAGAGTAATTCCGACAGAACATGAGATTTCACTACATGGTTAGATGTAACGTTTTTATTTTGTTTTGTATTAAATTAATATTTTCTTACTTTAACATCGATTACTTTGTGATTACAACAATTACAATCGAATATGGGCAATCTTTTAACATCATCCATAGTCAAGTATTAAATTTTAGAAATGTAAATCTGCACAATATCAACTTCGATGGTATACTCACAATTCTTGATAAACATACAAATATTTTCTTATGTTTAACGTTATTCGTTAATTGTTACGGAGCATAAAATGACAAATTTTCTAGTGTAGGAAGCGTGAGCGATTAGTATTATATATGTCTAGCAATATATACTTTATTCAATAAATAAAATTTTGAACAGAGATAGAATTGTTTTATACTAAAGACGAGGATATAGACAATCGTTTATCATCATCATAGAACTGAAATCATACAATGACGACAAGATAGCTTTAAAAAATCGTCGCTTAAACAGAGAAATCATGGTAAAAAAAAAGAATGACAAAACTTACAATTTCCTTGTTTGGCTCAGTATGCCGCGTTTTTGTCGGAATTGACACGATTGCACGAGGATTAACCGGTCTATGTTTATGATGAATTTGTTTGTCAACAGGGATATTAGTAATTTCTTCTTGAATATGAGTCGGAAACGGATTGACCAGGTCACGTTCGTAAATATGAGCATTCATAGTACTGATAGTTGTGGAAACAGTATTAGTAGTAGTAATCCCATTCGGATTAGTAGTATATACGATGGATGCAGAAGTAGTATTATTAGTGATATTAGTGGTAATGACAGCAGTATTTCTAGGGATTGAGCGACTGTCAGTTTTATTACCTTGTTCCCAAAAGTAAACTAGACGCTTCTCAGGTTCAATAAGAAGTTCTGGTATAGATCCTGTTTGTGGTATGGTATGGTATGATTTCGACTTGTAGTCAATATTATCACTGTCATTGATGTCATGTTTGACCTTATCAGATCTTACAATTCGTACATGATCACGGGTAACCTCGTAGTTTGATAATTCTTTGTTTCCTTTCATTACTGGATCTACTTGTGGATGTCGTTTTATTTCTTTTCCATTGTTGTCATCATCATCATCATCACTAAGGTCTGGAGAACTCTTGAAGAGTATTATTTTTAAAAAAGCGTCGAAGAAAGAATGAATTAGGAATTTTTATTAGTGCGAATATAATAATCTTATCATTAAAGTTTGTGAACAATAACTTGACAATACCGAAACTAGAAACTGTGAGATACATCAGATAAAATAAGTGAATTTAATATTTAGCCATCAGTATTATTGACACTGTGACAAATGTACTACTTTCTATCATAAAGCCAAAGCTGTGAAGTTGATGAAGATAACACATATAGCGTTGATTCTGATAAGACTTACTAAACATAATTAATTAATGAATCAGAAAAAGAATTAATAAAAATGTTTGTTTAAAACATTAGCCAAGATTAGAGTTAACAATCTCACTACATTAACTGCATATTTTCATGGTCACTTTTCATGAACACGAAAAATAATCAGATAATAATGTTAAGCTTTGTTTGGTCTAACTAGTTCAGTGTTTGCGTAGTACAACTATGATTAACTGGGACAATTAGGCGGTAATTAAAAATCAGATATGTAGATTAATCAGGCCTTTATTCAAATATCTTTTATATGACTACATAAACATTCTTTTCAACAACAAGAATAACTTCCGTTATATTGTAGTTGTTTTAACGGGTAGGATAAACCCGAATCAAAATAGATCTGCCTTTCTGAATTTCTTCTGCTAAAAGGATTAATGGTACTAAAATTTCATTATCTAAATAGAAATCATATCGATACAACTAAACATAATTACTTAAAACGAATGATATATATTTTGTAGCTATGGAATGTGTTTAATAATAAACAGCTGACAGTCATCTACTTTTGGAGATTCAAACGATTTGCTAAATGGGGGATTGAAAAACCCAAAACTTATAGCGTAAAGTATTTCCTAAAACAGGGGATTTATCCGAAAAAGTAGGAAAATCATATTCAGCACATAAAATGTATTGCTCGTCAAAGAATTATATCTACAGTGTGTATCGTGGTTAACAAAAACGTACATCTTTATTTTGCACTAGGATTCGATTACATCCTTTGATATCGGGGTCAACTTCAGTCGAATCCCATTGGTTATTTGCGTTTTTGTTTAGCTTACCGTTTCCTTCAGTTTTGCTACCAGATTGTAGTTGCTTTGTCCTGAAATAGTTTAAAGGTTGGTCTTTATTCATGGACTTATTCTTCAAGTCTGTAGGATGTCTTGTCTCCTCACCGTCGTCACTGAAATCCATGAAATCACTATCTTCACTTTCATAAACACCGTGTTTGTTTATCGCAGAACCCTAAATGAAACAAGAGGCAATTTAATGAACAATCCCAGTTATGCTCAGAAATATGTGTAAACACTGAACAACATATCGAGGAAAAAACATGTTTGAAGTTAGTTTATATGGAGAAATGACGATTAAAACCAGATAGCGTTGGAAGTGTAACAAGGACTTAATGTGGGAATTCGCAGTAAGAAATACTTAAGATTCGATAAGGAATCAAAATGAAGAACACCGAACAGTCAGTCATCAACAACGTAGAACGTGGGACACGTGTGAATTTGTTTAATTTACCACACCACACCAGCACAGCGAGATAGCAGAGCAGAAACAGTACTGGTGGTAGCAAGAAAGATTAGGTGTAGACAATATGATTCGAGACGAAAACATGAATTTGTGGACCAAGTTACGAGATGACTATGCTTGTAAGAATCCAACGATCTACATTTCCAACTTTGATCAATTTTTGGTGCACTACAACTCAGTGGTCTAAAGTTAATTTGGTTACTCTGATAGCTGGAATCCATACATGGTTTCTATTATTACTCCACATGATGTCATCACGTGGTGAAGATCGACTTCAAACTCAATATCTTAGCAAATTGCTCACTCTAAGGAATGTTTTTAGTTGAAAATTCATCCCTAGTACTTTTAACTGATTGCAAGTAATATAGTTTAATCAGTATATAATATTAAAATTCCTGTTGTTTCTTGAGATATTATTGTAACAATTAAACGCAACTATTTCTTTAAAAGTAACAACATAGAATTTCCCGAGAAAACAGTCGTATAGTTAAGTAACTCAGTATATTCGCCCAATGGTTTTCAAGTTCGTTTTTTTTTACTGATGAATGTTGTAAAAATAAAGCTGAATAAATCCTCTATTGTATGCCATATCATTATAAATGATTTCAAAAGAGAATGGTGATAAAACCTAGATCATAGACATATTACTGTTGCACTTAACATAGGGATAGATATTCATTCAACAAATTGAGATCTTATCATTCACTCAAATTATGAGTGAAATCAAATGCCATCAGTAATATTGCAATAACAATGCTAACAATCTGAAATGTTATGGGTATTTTGATCATAATCTTTTCAAATTGATCAGTCTTATACTTTACCTTTCACGGAGTAGAAATCTAGTGATTTTAAAAGAAGTCTGTAATTATATAATCCAACTATTGAATAGCTTTCAAGTCATGACGGAAGTTTATTAATTGGATTTTGAAATGCATTGTATCTAGTACTAAATGATTATAGGAAATCCGCAATATGAAGTTGTAAAACCAGTAAACACCAACTAGAAACAATTGTAAATTCATGGAAAATTATCCTGTTTCATTGATTCAATAAGGTGTTTATCTGCGCCAAAATGATGGATGTTGCTAAGAGACTAAGATGAATTGATTGAGTACATAAACTACTGGTTAAAAGGTAAACAAATATAATGAAGATGAATCTTGAGATAGTGGAGATTTGTAGCTCAGATGGAGTTTTGTTCTTTGAGCTTAAAGACGAATCTTACCTGATTGTTCTATATTATTGAAAATGTAAAATGCATATCAAAATATTTAAAATCTAAGGTGCGATTATTTGACAGACAGTTGACTCTAGAAGCTTATTAGAATTTTATTGTATCTGTAGAATACTTAGTAACCGACTTAGTACTTGCTACTAAAAATCGTGAACCACATGACGAAAGTAAGAACATGAAGACAGTGGATGAGGATTTATTTGACAGGGCGAACATTGGGAATGTTGTAAATTTCTGGACTATTATTGTTTATATTTTAATTGTAAAGTTGTTGTATAATTGGATTATTGCATTTATATGCTCTCTGTATTGTGAGCTTCGGTTGAACTTATTAACTGTCGATATACAATTTATTATTTCTTAACTACCTATGAGTTAACTATTTGCCTTTGCCCAGTTCTCTGCACTTATGGTATGATTTTGTGTAAAGTATTATTTCATAGCTGGGGTGCATAGTGCCCTGATAAATCATGTATATACACTAATGACTGTTTGAGATGAATATGTAGGGTGCTGGAAATATGGTAGTAGACACATGTTTGATGCGTTTGCTTATTGGACTTATGACTGGAGATATAAATAGGGCATACATATCGGTGGACCAGTAGGAGTTAACATTACCTCGGTCTCAACTCAGGATCAATCTTACCAGTCTAAGTGCACAATTAATCAAAACTTAAGACGTTAGAAGATATATGGAAATAGAAAACGAATTATAGAGAAATGTTACATGATTCTTATTGGTAAATCTACCCTGCGTGTCAGTTACCTGTTGTTCATATTACATTTGGTATCTTTTTGCTAAAGACAAGAAATGAAGTATTGCTATTTCAGTACTGTTTTGAAAAAAAACATTCTCATATGTTTTGAAAATACGGTAATAATAACAAAAATAATGGTGTTGAAAAATTCACCGATGAATAAACATAAATTGAACAATCTAAAGTAAAATTGTGATCGATAAACTTTTGAAAAAGAAACTGAATGTTGTAGAATATGTAAACTATAGGAAAATTGTAAACTAGAAGAAACTTGATTGTTTTTTTTCTTATTTCATTAAAATTCATGAAGAAATGACAAATAGATCAATTAGATAGACTTTAAATACACGTTAAACATATAAATACACATCATAAAACTAAAACAAAATATCACTATGTAAAAGACAACAAAACGTACCGACTTTTTTATTGGTGAAATTGTTTCACTTTTACATTGCGATTTAAAATTTGCGAATTCAGACTCCAATTTCAATTTTTTACCAACAGCAGGTGTTGAATATTGAACATTGGACTTATTTGTTTCGGGTGAACATGATCGTTTTATTTTGTGATGAAAGTGTTTTGATAAGATAATACCCTTTTCTGCTAGTGCTGATTTTCTATTGTCGTTCTCGATAGAATTGTCCTTTATGGTTTACAACACATAGTAATGCAAACAAAACACACATAAGCAATAGCGAATTACACCATGATATTCAATACACTTATTTGATATAACATATAGTTGTTTAGAAATACTACATTATCGGTTAATCTGAAGAACAATTTAAAGTAGTTATGGCTGTTATAGCATCACTAATTGGAAGCTCGAAATGACAAAAACATGAGTAAAAGCTAATAATGTATTGCACTAAATGACTAGTTGATTAGAAGTTTGAAGGTTGAACTACTACACACTCTATATCCTAAGAAATGAAAGTTTAATCTTTTCAAATGAGTCAATAGCGTGTACCGTTAAAGCATAGAGAGATGAAACAAAATTTTCCACTTCATTGACAACTTCATACGACCAAAAAGTTGATATGTATAACTTAATGACGATATAATCCAGAAACAATATATACATTGAAAGACTTGCTGTCTAGCCATTTTAATAATAGACGAATTCTAAATTAAAACTTGTGCAACAACCCGATTTCACACTAGTTGTATTTATTCTCTTAAAAACCAATCAGATAGTTAAACTATAATAGTTGGTTATTGGACATGCACAAACATATATTTCAACTGTTTCAACAAATAATGATTAATCATGCTATAAGCAGTTTAACGTTACCACTATTGCGATATTAGAATTTGCAAATTCGGAATTTATTTGAAATTTAAGCATATTACACAGTTATACATACTTTTTAAACTTTGTAAAGGGATTCTAAGCACTCCTCTCCTATCTTGAGGAATAATTTACATGTTTGCAATATCAGTGCGATTTCGCAGTCATAATAGAAACTTTGTAATCGACCTTTCTATACGATGATGGGATAAGCAATATGGTTTAAGTCTTACCAGAAAATCGTCATTTCTGTTATTAATATACACTAAGTTCACTATCCTAGTTCTGATGCCACTATAGTTTCGAACAGGTTTTTTCATCAAAGGGAAGTAATGTAAAAAAAAAACAAATTCGACGTCACAAATAGGCTAACGCTAATAACCATTTAACCACTTGATAATCTAAACTGACAGTTTTGACGAAAATGATTATTATTCTATACGAAAAAAACTAAATTGCCTGCATTGGTCTGTCACAATAAATCGGTTGAGTTTTACTGATTTAAACGTTTGAATATTAATGCGTCTCTACAGTCATAAACGTTGGTTGAAGAATGTTTATTAAATCAAAGCGATATTGCTGAGTTAATAGGGATGAAACGGAGGCAGAGTTTTGCACAAGCATTAAGTGAACCCAGATATATAACTTTACCATTCTGAAAGGAAGAGAATTGTCACTATTGTGTAAGTTTGTGTTAACCATCATTGATGAAGTATGTTCCAGGTCCTGGGAATATGACAGGAATCTAAGAACAGAAGATAAGAACTATCCTATCTATAATTCCTGATTTCCATTAGAATATATATAGTATTTGATTAAGTGAGAGACTTCAGATTGCATAAACTTTACAAAAACTAGAAACGCTGACTAAAATAGTCATAGATTATAGGCTGAGTGAAATGCTACAGTCGCTATATATTGAAATGTCATCTTGAAGCCCTTTAGATAACGCAATCGATTATTACCCAGTTCTACCTGTATTTCAACATTTTAAAATTCTTTCAGCAGGAATATTTGGTACTGCGCCAGTAGTTAACATTACAACAGTTCATACGATATATTACCGGATGAATCAAGAAATGACCAAATGAAATATAGTAAGATTATAGCGTTAAACTGTGGTTTGATTTAATATAAAATACATAGAAACAATCAAGAGAGTCTTGTTGTATGTTTAGAAAGTGCCTAATATTCAATAAAACTTGTTGACTCAACTTAATATCCAGGTTTCACATAGCAACTAACTAATGAACAATCTATTAGGAATTTAAACTAGACTTTCACACTTGTCAGCACTCATCATCAACAAGATAAAAACGTGTTCACTTTCAGTTATTTGAATCACGTTAGCAATAAACAATTGAAAATTGTCCAACAAACAAAATAAACTTTGACAATTAATTCAGAAATAAACGAAATTACAACCTACAGTAGATTTTATTTTTTCGTTTGTTTTTGTCAAAAGAATATCAGCTTTACTTTTAACAGCATTCCATACAGATTCTTTAGTAACATTTGGTCGACGAACAAATGTGATCAACCTTGCCATACGTGTGCGATACATAGCGGCAACCTGAATCACGTAAAGTTAAGAGTAAGGATGTAACTAAGACATGAAGACTTTTTATTTACACTTTAATGTAAACGAATACAGTACTGGTTACCACAAACAAGAACATAAATAAACTAACCTGTTTTTCCCACAAATCATAAGGATAAAGAAATATTCATTTGTTAAACAGACTGAATATAACTTTGCAACAGAAAGTAAGTGACAGTAACAGGTATTTGACAGTTATTGTTTTAGCAACAAGGTTGATTAAAGATAGTGATTTCGTAGGAAGCATAAAAAAGGGAAATATTATCTTTCCAATTTAATATTCTTCTTCTTCTTTAATATTCTTCTTCTTAATCAACGAAGAACAGTAAGGTGTTTCCTGTGGATAATCTATATCTTCAGAGATGCTTCCTTTCCACAACACAAATGAATTCTATAAGATTAACTCTAAAATGATCCTTTTTGTATTGTTTGCCTAAATTTCCACTGTCTGTAACTCGGATGCAGTGAGGGATAATTTTTAATGCAACCCATTAAATATAGAACTGTGTACTCTGCTTCAAAGCATACTTTATGTGCGGGGGGCTAGTGATACTACTCGACTACCTAGACTGAAGTAGGTGAAGGTGGAATCAAACCTGCAAATAAAGGGTTGAAAATCGAACGTCTTAACCACTAAGCAACCACAACACAAGATATGCTTCACAAAAAGCTTTCTATCCTCCTTCAAAAAGCTAGAAACTAAGGTATAGCAGTCGTAACGACTACTCTTCAACTGCCCACTATTTGCAAATAGTCTGAATCGGGAGTCGATGTAACCCCAGAAACTCTGAGAAAACTCTGAAGGGCTATAACTAACCTAGAGCAAAAGACCCTAACGAGATGACATTAGGGGTGTGGAATGGTGGTGGTATGAAACTATAATTTAAATTGACCGGTATAAGAAAAAGCATCTGGGAGCCAGAATCAATCCCGTCTCAAACGTCCCAGTCTACATAAAAGACAAAAATCTTTTTGTGATAACCACAGAGCAATCAGTTTGACTAAAATAAAGTCGAAAATTTACGACTACATAATCATTCTACACCTAAATATGAACCCGATATTAAAATTATTATTTTTATTATTATTTCCGACAGCGTTCACTCAATTGTAAATCAAAGACGAAACTAGCTTATATTGACTATCAAGACACTGAGATTGTATAATAATGAAACAATTTAAAATATGTATATTATACTATATACGTTTAATTGATTAGGATTGATAATGATAACAATACTTATTATTATTATTCTGCTAATAATTGACATACTATGAGTAAATGATTATCAAATTAGGAAGAGATTATTACAAATGAATCTGTAAAAAAACATCATCAATTACATAACTTTCATTTAAAAACGCAACAGTTACTCTTTCAGTCTTTCTAATTTGAGTTTGTTAACTATAACACTGAGTGAGATTTACCACAAAATGTAATTCATAGTGTTCACTTCGACTGGTTAAGACAAACTCAATGATAAATAAAACAATTAAAGTTTAATGGTATTTCTAAGTTTCAGAAAAAAAATGTAGGATCATAATGGAAACCTAAAGAATTCCTTATAGTCTAAGATGAACTCGGACACTGAACTCCTTATATTGTTTTTCATCCCTATCACTTCGAATATGACATGAAATCAGTATTACCGTTATTCTTACCATTATTAATGATAATAACAACTAAAATAATAGTATCAATACAGTGTACAATAATTGTAATTAGCGAGTCCGATATTTTTTCTGAGAGATACACTTATCGTTACTCCATGCATAAATGTTGATTAACTAATTAGTGTGAATAGTATAAGTCCACCCACAAAACCAATAAAGTTTGACTGAACTATTACCGATAGCAACAACAAAATACAAGTAAACAAATGCACGTTGAACAAATAAAGGATATTATTGGTCGACTATGAGATAGGGACTGACTGTCCAAGTGTTGTTAACTAGTTCATTATATTACTATCATCAGTATTATAATAAACAAATAATTGATTGTGTAATTGTGGATAATGCTAGTCGAAAAACATTATTAATGCTTGTTTTTAATAATACAGAAATACGTGACTGTTTACAATTGGGCATAAAAAATGATCAATCGGAATGTAATAATATCCCTCATTTATTGATAATTTAATGCATAGAGGAGGGATTTGATTGTGGCCAACTTAGTCTCGTGTGCTGTCCGATTAGTGTTGGTCTTAGCGACCTGGGAGCGTGACCTCAGAGCCCAAGGGACAACTGCTTGAGGCCGGTCGCGTACGGCCTTTTTGTGGGAAGTATTTAACGTGTTAGCTCCATTCTTTAAAAGGCCTTACCGCCAGAGACGGAAATCCATGGGGTAAGGTAAAGTGTGGCATTTTTGGGTCGACCTTCCTTCCTTGTGATAAGGCAGCATCGCTGTCACGCTGGTTGTCCGAGGGAAACATCTTACTGTTGTCACACCCCTCTACAGACAGTAGTACGGCTTTGCCCTCAAACCTTGAGTTGCTGCTTTTAGTCTTACCGTTCTCCAATTGACCTGCCTGGCATGGTAGAACCTACAGGAACATATGTTCCATTCAATATAGCTCAGTTGGGTCATCACGATAGGAAAGCCCAACCACGACGCCGAGGTAGCGGCTACGGTCGGATTATACTGGATTGTACTCTTTGAATAACATCTTCAGACCCTAATCTTTCCGATTACTGCCTATACTTTTATTACCTCTACCACTACGGGTTTTGAATTGACAATTGTATCTCTGTGTTAATGTGGTATGCAACTCGAACTGACGTACGTGCGTACAAAGTTCTACGGTGTTGAAGACTGACTGACTAATGCATAGAGGATGTATACTTTTAAATAGAAAGCACTTCACACAAAAAAATTTCGGCAATAAGTTCGCATTTAGTCAACCTTTAAAAAAATGTATTTGAATCTAATCGCTTATTCGCAAACGACTAGCCTGCTTTTTAGCCTACTATTAAATCTGTTAGTACCACGTTTAAACACGCAGTGTTTATATATGTTCGATACACCATTCAGCATAGGTCACTTATTTCTCATACTTTCACTGTATAACCAGTGACAATTTACTATTTCGTACGACTGGTAGCTTATTCAATTAGTTTGTAGATGTTAATTAAATTTGATTATTCATATTTATGCATGCAAGAAAAGACAACTTGTTTTTTATCGGTTTCTAATGATTATAAAATAAATTGATGATTTTTACTTTATTCCTGAATGATTTCATACGTTTTGGTGATGCATTTTTTTACCAACTATAATTAGTTGGAATATTGCATTGAATATTGTTTGAAGCCATCTGTATTGAACCAAAACGTCTACCTGTCATCACTGAGTTGAAACACATTTTTGATTTCAGGATTTAATGAACATTTTTCGTTTATTTAAAGTCCTAAAATCAAATCTAGGTCGGGAGGACGGAAAGTCAGCAACACAACAACAGGATGAGCTAAGCTATTCCACCGCGCCCAAGCCCTGCTAACTAGAAGGGGTCCGGAAGCACGAACGAACAAGCACACAACTCATGCGTAAATATACGGTACAAAAATGTTCTTGGAAAACGTCACAAAATAGCGTACTAAAAGAGGAAACGAACCAATGACATTTAAGATCCTTCTAGATGGGAAATACAAACTGAAAGTAAAAGCGCATACTTTTGGCGCGGAAATGAGAAATTCAATTTCCATAATCAAATTACAAAAAAGAGACATTTACCAAGTGATTTCTGGGGATCTAGCATCCTCTACAACATGAATCAGTCTAATTGAAATTTAAATGTAACAAAATAACCATAATGTATGGAAGTGGCTATACAATACTTCTCGATTAATAGGATTCGGATAAATCCGATTGGCAAAAGCTAACCAGGTTATATACATAATCAAATCAGAGTATAAACCAACTTGACCGAGATATGTTTATTAATGGCAACAAAGAATACAGGTCTTATATCCGAAGAATTATCAGTTATTTTGCTAACAATTACAATTAAATATAGGTTGACTGATTCCAGTCAATATCCTAAAACCATCTGACATCATTTTTTTCTATTTAATACAGAATGCTTGTAAATTAGGGCAATATCGAGGCATACGCACAGTATGCACATATGCCAATAAGAGACTGATCAATTTCAGTCCTAAAACATCAATGGGAAGATTCAAGTAAAACAATATCAAGAGAATATAATTTAGTTTCAATCTTTCAGATTCGTTAAAATTAAGTCCTCTTGCCACTTTAGTGAAAAGAAAATAGAAAGAAACACTGCATAATACATGGTGAATGACAAGAGTATTATATAGAGGAAACTCATATCACGGGAATAAAAATCATTTGAATAACCATTTTTTTAATGCATCAAATGAATCGCTACATCATAGGGATTAGAAATTATGAAACGGCTCCTACAAATGTCGTGTACTTAAAACATAACTTTTACTGGTTACGGAAGTTTATAAGTTTATACTCAATAAAATCAGAAACGAAACCAAAAACAAAGTGGACTAGTCATTTTTTCAGGTTGTTAATTTTTGGAAAGGTTAGAGCCTTAACTTTTAACCAATCTAGCAGTGAAATAAATACAACACAAACAAAATGGCAAAAACGTAATCAATCCAAGGCTATTTGACTATTAATTAAATAAAACAACTAGAGAAAAGTCTATAGATAAGTTATCGATGCTTTAAAATATTTTAAGTAACAAAAAAAGGATTTATCAACGTGAATACTTTAGAATACTCATTTGACTGGAAAAAAATGGTTGAAAATATGTATAAAACGAATTATTCAATTTTAAACTGTCTACGATGTACCACCAATTTAACTCAGGCAGCTGAATAACCCCAGAAAGAGAATCTATTTTTTACGAGGGAGAGTGATAGGATGGACAAAACCAGATATATCATATGTTTGTGCTCGCATACTGTTGGAAGGTCATGTGCTAGGTGAGAGATGATTTTTATTTCTTTATTTAATACACAAATAGTAGCATAACTAGGCTTCAAAATAAAAATGCGTCATACAAATATGAAATGAAGCTATGGGGAGATAGACGGAGGGAACTTAGTATAATTAAAAACAAATAAGTGAAAAAAACGAGTGAACAAGAAGAATACAAAAAGGAAAACAGTCCAGTTAGAAATACAACCAGAGATAATTTCTAAATTAAGTAAGTTTATATCATTCAATAAGAAGGTAAAAAAGAACTACAGCACGATCGGCGTTGATTTACGCTTTGAGTCATGTCTGACAACGTCTCAAGCCAATAGGTTGCACCATTTCTCGAATCCAAACCAGAGAGTTATGACAGACCGAAAAATGTCATAAACCAACCACCTCTCCAATTTCTTCCAGCCAGTCTCGGCGACGGTAAATAATACAGAAATAATACTGGAAATGACACTAATAACACTTGTCCAAGACATCGAAACCAATGTTTTAGGATAAAAATACCAGAAGGGTTATGGATACTTTGACAGAACTCAAACTGGTGAGTCTCGGTAGTACTAATATGGTGACGTCACTGAATGTCAGAAATCCTTTAGAGACGACGATGATCAAACATGGTCACTAGACATCCTCGATTCAGACAGATATAGTTCCACAGGAATACAAAAAACCGCTCTCAACGGTGCGTTGTGGACCTCACTTTTACAGACAGAATGACATTATGACGGCGCCAAATATTGCCTATATAGACGTAATCCTCTCTGGCTTTCACTGTACGTAGATCAACCCTACAAATCACAGCACTTCAAACACGACCGCTCAGATGCACAAGCTACTAAACTACTTAAGACTCACCACTAAGGGTGGGTGCCGGCATACGGTCCTACCAATCTTGTAAAAGTACTTTGCACTTGGAAGGTGAAAAGTGAGGACAAAGATTAAAAAGTGAAACTTCCATTGCTTGTACATCATCGTACAGTAAGATAATATCATCCACATACTCAAGATCAAATAGTCTTTCTCCAGATAACAGAGTCACACCAACACTACTCAATCCCACAAGAACTATTTCCAAAATGTCATGGATGGTAAAGGTGAATTACAATGGTAATGAGAAATGACAAACAAGACACGCTGTTGCGTGAAGCTCATGATGCACTTTTTCAAGGTTTTAGCTTATATAACTGAGAGACAGATTATATATAAACGTATGAATTGTGTATACCTTTATTCGGAGGCCGGTTACAAATTCCTATTCATGTTTATACTTATCGCTCATATGGTAAGCTAAGCTTGCATATAGGAAGAACGAATGCAGAAATCAACATTTCATGAGCACGTAGGTATTATTATCAAGGTTTGACTTCATAATTTCGAATAAATTGAGCATTGGGTAGATTGTTATAAATAAATTAATATATTTGTAATATCCCAATGAGTAGAAAAATTAAATTTTTTGGCGTTTCGTGACTCAGTGCAGGCCACTTCTTCAGAGACTAAATAACCAAATCAAAATTAATCCACGTTTAAATAGTACAAACGAACAACGCAAGAATATTATATGCGATCAATAAAAAACAAGTCTGACCGAAACGACATGAACTTGACTTGAATACATTTAAAAATGATATTTATTTACACTTTTAGTTTTCGATTATAATTACGGGTAAGTTGCAATTAATGTGTTTACCATGTCGTTTCAATTAGGTCAATTAAATATCAAGCGTTGAATTAATGAATAGAATAGATAAAAAAGAAAACATTAACCGATGAACTACTAATAAGACCCTAAATAGATTTTCGATTTGTCGCACTACTTGTTTTAACCAATTATTTCATTTTTACAAATATTCAGACAAATACAATAAATCTAGAGAACATACGACAATTATACATATTGACATTAGGTAGGAGGATTAATTGCAACACATATATCGAGTTTACAATATACATATATGCACATATTAACAAGATTATTGAAATCAATTTTCAGCCAACTAAACAGAAGCAAATTATTAAAAATATACTTATAGTAAATATTTATGAAGAACATAGTATTGTAAAACTTTACTAAAAAGAACAATTAAAACGAAATTAAAGTGTTTCGGACTAATAATATTAGATTAAATGATAATCTTGTTACATTACTCCATATTAACTATAGTGTAATTAACTTAAAGTATATGAATGTAATTGTGTATAGAATAGCTTACTTTTGATTCTTTAAACAACACATACTCTGCATCTGCACATAACTTATTTAGTAATGCTTCATGTTCTGGGAATAATTTTTTCATTGCACTGGTAAGTAACTGAAGAGTTTGATCACGACACCATCCAGTGATTCCGGTAACATTACGATTGTCTGGACTTATTACTTCAGTTGTATCTGGAGCTGAAACCCATGATGACTAAAGATAAACAAGAACGAGAAATGAAAGAAAATGTAGTCAAGAATATAATGTACACTATGATAGAATACATAGAACTGTTTTGGTCACTGATCACCATTAATTTGATCATACAAATAAGTCGGGAAACCAAACATCACTAAGAAATATAAGTGCATAATATGAAGTGTCCAAAGTCCATTGCTTTTGAAGTCATAGTTTATCTTTCTCAATAGATTGGTATAACTGAGAGCATTCACCAACTAAGACGTTCGTGATTTGTCTGTCTGCCGAAAAACGAACGAGTACACTGAGCAGCAGTTCAGAATATACTACACTCTGGCTGTGAAATATAGTCCATAAAAGTACGAGATATGGGTGAACTGGAAATATTTGTTTACAGGTGCCTTTGAAAAACGCTTCACGTATCGTGGGACGACCACGTGAGCAACGCTGAAGTTAAGGATAGATTACTAAAGAAACATGGTAAATCAGTTGATGGGCCATTAATCTTCATTGATCGAGATGTCCTGGATGTTTATTATGCGTCCCTAACCACTACCAACATAAATGTGTATCGATAGATGAAGCAAGGGTAAACTGAAAGAAGGCTAATGAAATCACTGACTGTTGGTTTGAATTGCGTTGCCTAGTACAGACCATCTGGTTAGGGTCGTTTGATAATTACTATCGGTGGTTGTAGATGTTAAGTAACATGATTAATCCTGGTTTAATGCCTAGTTTTAAAATTATATTATTTATGTTTAGCCTTTTAGATTAAAATTGATACTACTGTTATTTTGATTCCTTCGTTATTCATTTTATCAATTTTATTTGGCTGTGTTGAAATGGTGTAATAACTAGGGGTGATATACATGTTTGCTATCCCCTACATTATGATTGAGTGGATATTAGAATAGGCTGAGGGTGTCATTCTCTCGGAAGTTTTGATACTTGGTTGTTCTCTATCACTTTATATCTCAGAATATAGAGTTCACATAAGCCTCAAATTCCTATGACAGATCATATTTATTATCCTCCACAATGGAAATGATTAAATCTTAGTCAAATTACCATCTCTTTAATTCCATTTCACCATTCTTATCCATCCAACAGATTGGTTGTTTAAAAAAATTCAATAAAATATCACGTTATTGAAATGATCTTATTTATTTGCTTATAAGATTATTATTATTAATGGCTTTATTCAATATTATATTTTGGTACAATATAGAATTCTCAGCACAGGGTATTTCAACAAGTCACTTACGCAAAAAAACAGTAACAAAGACGAAAAAAAGGAAAAAAAGGTTCAAAAATATAAGACCGAAAAACTGTACAACTTTTAAAATTAAAGACATGTTAAGAATGCAGGTTGTTGACTAGGTTAACTCTAACAACCTGTTCGTCACACAGTATATTTGCTAGGCAAGGTATTATAGAACTTTTATACTTTTGTTTGCGTGCATGGATTTTAATGTAATTACGTCTCGTTCTACCATAAGATATACAAGGAGAAAGATAAGAGTGAAGGGGATGGTTAGTATCTGATAAAATAACAGCTGCCAGGAGTTTGCATGACTTTAGATGTCTATCCACAACCACATTAATTATGACCTCGAAAGATTCATCACACATCTTGCTAACTGCCTTCAGCACTCTCCGCAATATAGCAAAGTCTCTTCTCAAAAGCCCGGGAAAGAATAATGGAGAACAGTAAAGCATGAAAGGTAATATGAAGGAATCAACAAATTGTAAAAGAAATTGTACGGCATTCCCCAAAGCATGCAGCCTCGTTATGTAGTAAGTCAGACGGAAAACCTTCTTTGATAACAGTAAAACGTGGGAAGACCAAAAGAGATCAGAGGAAAAGGTAACACCAATAAAATTGACCTTCGACACTGTTTTTATCAAAGAGTCCCCAATGGTACAAGCATTATGGGATCTCAAAATGCTGTTTAGATGCCGTTTATGTCTCATGCTAAAGTTAACAGCTTGACATTTAGACGGATTAAGTATGAAACCATTACCAAGAGACCAACAATCAATATAAGACAAAAACTCATTCATTTCTATGGGATGTAAAGAGGAAGAGATAGGCATACATACAGTGAGATCATCCGCATATTTCACAAAAGTGTTTACTGTGGAAGATAGCAGATCATGCAGAAAAAAAGAGAAAAGAAGAGGTGAAAGAAAGGCTCCTTGTCGTGCACCTCCATCATACAGTATGACTCTGAACACCTTCCTCCAAATACAGTATACTGTTCCCTTCCAGAGAGGCAGGAACATAGCCAGTTGGTTATCCAGCTGTCAGTGTTGACGCTGATTAACTTTTTAATCAGAAGTTGTCTTCGTATAGAATCAAAAGTTGAAGTATAGTTCAGAAAAGCGCATCGAACATACTTCTTAGCCTTTTCTAAGTTGAACACTATATTGTGATGCAGAACAGCAACAGCATCTAAGGTGCTTCTTTTGCATCTGAAAGCAAACTGATACGGATCAATATGCTCTTTTATCGCAGGCTGAAGTGAAAGTATTAATAATTTTTCCACTGCTTTGAGGAAGGGTGAAGTTATTGCAATAAGTCTAAATTTTACATTCTTATCACCAGATGCTTTCTTTGGTACAGGAATTATATTTATCTTTCTCCATATTTTCGGTATGAGATTAGATGAGAAAGATCTGTTAAATATAGTCGTGAATGGATAACATAGAACGTCAGCACATTTTCAAAAAAAGGAGGTTTGGGATACTATCAGGTCCCAAACATCGGGATGAATTAAGCGATTGGAGACATCTTCGGACATCAGTTCCAGTGAAACTAGGAACACAACTAATATTTAAGCCCGTGGATAGAGGGAGCATCACATCAGATGACTGACGTACAAAAGACTTATTTAAGTCACAAACATTCAGCTGGTTATCGCTCCTAAACTATCTGTCACCTGTAAGTTCTTTATTTCCACATACTTAGAGAGTTTTTGCAAGACAAGAGTTTCTGAGTAAATATAGAGTTAAGACGTCTAATCTCTAGGTTTATTAGACCATTTAGCTTACGAACTTTATTAGAGTTTTTCTCCTTGTACATTCTTCTTTCACCCTCCGTAGTCGTTTTAGTTGTGAAGATGTAAGTCGATCAAAACTTACAAAAATGGTTTCAGTGGGACAACAAATATCAAAACAGAATTTAAGATAACAAGTGATGACATCAGTAGTGATTTCCAGTGAGTCATCTGTAAACAATTCCCAGTTAGTCGTATGGAACATGTTTTGCAGATCTCGGATATTTTCTTCTGAGTAATTCCTATGTTTGACTTTCTTGGTTTGATGTAAGAGTGTACTCTTCCCATGCTTTCCACATACTTTAGGTAGAACACGAATTATACAGTGATCCGAGCTAGACAATGGAGCACGTTTACGAGTCGCATATATACCCACATCATTAATGAAAACGAAGTCTAAATGAGCATCCAAACGGGTAGGAAAATCTACTACATTTTGGTGACCTAGTGGCGTAAGGAAGCTACAGTCACATGCCCCCGAATGCCCTGGTATGGCCGAGAGTGGGGTGGGCCCGCCCTTCCTCTCGAAATACTCTCACACGGCCACGCGTATACAGCCTCTGCCAGGGAAGTCCTTCTCACTGCCTTCTCGTGGCGGTGGTGTTGTTTACGAAAACGAGAGGACGAAAAGCGAATGTCCGGCGCTGTAACCGGATCACAAACCAATGGTGCACATGGGCTCCAGTATCCTGTGGGAACAAATAGCGTATGAACCAATTGTTGGTCACCGGCTACCATGGGAATGCATCTCCTCACGATGCTCCACTGCCTTGTGGGTTAGACCTTTAGGTCACAGGCTCGGGCACCCGGGCAGTATCACAACCCACACACACAAATATGGTGTGGCGCATATATATTTGGTGCCCTCTTGTACCAATATTTATGTGTTGAAATAAATAATCAATACAAATACAGTCACATGAATTGAAATCACCACATACAAGTGAAAGTGAATCACTGAAAGCAGTAACAGCGAACTCAGTAAATTCATCAGCGAAAACAGATAGCGCAGATGATGTGCAGTCTGGAGTCATATAGATATTGGTAACATAAACATATTTGTATTCACTCAGATGTTTTGGACGACATCTTAGAGTTAGACAGTCGATAAAGTCATTTGAAAACTTAAAACACAAACGAAGATCGACACGTTTACGTTTACAAACGGAGCTACACCACCGCCACACCTCTTTTTATTGTTTGATCGATCCTGACGATAAATTTCGAAATCACGTAGTGATACTAGGCAGTCGTCCTGTAAATCATTTAACCAAGATTCTTGAATTGTGATGACACCACAATTACGATACATATTTTGACTTAGTAGGAATTGCAAATAGTCCACTTTGTTGATCAGTGATCGGCAGTTAGAATTTAGAAGCTCGGGAATCGAAATATGATTAATGTTCATTCTATTTAAAGCATATTGTCAACCACCACGATGTCCTTTATAGTAATTTTTTGTAACTTGTGGAGCAAAAGGTCGTAGGCTTTTCATAAAAGCGCTTGAATAGGTTATGCGATTAATGGACATAATGATAAGTTAAAACAAATGAAAAAGCAGATAACTTGTTGAAATAATCAGATGGCAGAAACAGGTGGCCCAGATATTTCATACATCTCAATCCTTTGATAAATTTAAATAAAGTGAGAAGAACAAGATTTGTAGAATAATATACATATGTTTGATTTCAACGTTTCGCATCAACTGCAAACGGCATAAATTTACATCAATGACATTATTCTAAGAAAATTCTACATACCATAATCAATGAAGTTTAGTTCGTAAAAACATCAGAAACAAGAAGAGGAAACAACATATTTACCATAATAGTTAAGACTGATTAGTATTGATATATTAAAGATGAAGATATAAAATTAGCCTTGGAATATATTGAATCCATGTTATTATGTAAATCTTGTTCTTTTCGCCTTATTTAAATAAAATATTGAATTGAGTCATTATTAATTTAATTATAAAATTAAATTAAAGATTGAGTGAATTCTATTGCTAATGCTAACAAATGTTTTAATTAATCACTGAAAAAGCAGAACGAACACAAGCACTTTATTATAAAAAATTATTTATTAAATTTTTACTAACCTGTATAAGTTTATCTGTGTTACGTCGACGTTTATTAAATTCACTAGTGATTAGCTTTTGTCTTTCTAATTTATCATACTCTTCACGTTGTTGATCAGGTGAAAATTTTTCCGAATCACCACCATTATCATCATCAAACTTATTAAAATCATTGTAATTTCCAATATTGTCATTATCATCATCATTATTATCATTATTTTGGTAACCAATTTTAGTAGCTAACAAATCAAAGTGGAAAAAAGATCGAATGATTGTAACGCATAATTTCAGAGTGTGGAATGAATTGCTCTGAATTTTCGGCTTAGTTAATAAACGTAGTGAAAACAAGTTGGGTATTAGCATCATATTACAATAGAAATACCGGAACTCTTTATGAGGTTTAATAGTGTATAAAATGAAAGATTAAAAAATTATCGCATATGAATACAAATTGATAGAAAAAATGATGCATTTAGTTCAGTAAAAAAACTAACTATGAATAAAAGTGACGCTGGTTTCAGATTATTAAAATTCCTTGATTAGAGAAAAACATCCAATCAAGAAGATAAATAATCACACTTCATAACATATGAATAACAAAATTAAAGTTAAAACTGTGAAGTTTGTGTGAAATATCGAGACTTTTCATTTGTCAGATACACAAGTGAAATAGCGTTGATTGGATTAAGAACTAACAGAACCAATGCGTAGTTAGAGAATTCTATGTCCAAGTCTTATCAAAGATTTATGAATTGGACCTTGGAAACAACTACGTTTTGTGCCTTAATATTAGATGAAAATTCGACTGATGTTAATCTGCTAGATGTCTGCAGTTACCGAGTGGAATTGTGACAGTTTTGAGGAAACAGTCATCAAAAAATTAGTGCAAAGCATACCCTATTTATCGATACTTATCAGGTCCTGTGGCATGACTATCTTCAACAACGTCTAATGAGTAAAGTTATATGTAGACACTCAGTTTACAAATTCGAAAGTCTAAATAAACCAATCATATTCAATACAAATTGAAAATAAATACTTACTAAATTCAAGAGCACGGAATAATGCTAGATTCATACACACTCGTGATACATTGACACAAACATCACAATGATTCCCACATGGAGCTTGTTCATCTTTGAAATAAATTCCCATCTGTTGGTGCCTACAACTTTGGTGTGTAAATGGGGAAGAAGATGAATATTAATCAATTGAATTGGGAAATGGGATTGTAGCCAGTACTTTGCACACTTAACTAATTCGAACACAGATCCAGTTACGGGCGATAGTGTCATCACTATGAGATTTTAATGTTTTGAACGCAGTACAATCTCATCAGGAGGATCATCAGTGCGCTGATGAAAAGATTTTTCACACACTTCTTGTTTATAATCGTAAGTTAATTGAAGCCGTTCGGCTGAATTACCTGCCTGATAACTAAAATCCATACTGTCTTAGCTCAAAATATTTTATGTTTAACTGCGTTGCTAGTCAACGCCTTTGTGTTTTGAAATCCATACGTCTGTAGGGTCTGAGAATCGATATTATGCATGAACCACCAGTTCAGTCGCTTCAATCCTTTCAACTATATATATGGTGTGGCATGATTACAGCCTGCTGATCAAAACTCAGAAGGCAGAACTGTGTTACATACTAACCAGTAACAGATTGGGACTTATTTCATTCTTACGAGACATAGGTTGCGGCATCAATACCTTGGTATTGTTGTCTTAAACTCTAGTGCTCGATGAAGCAAAATCAAACATGAAGGGTATCTCTTACACTAAGGTTCCAGATAGGCCTCACTACTGTATTAACAGGTACAAAACGTCCGTTAGGTGTGATTTGGCTCAATCACATCCAGCCATCTGGCAAAAAAAGATGACAGTCACATCACTAGATCCCTTGGAACAATCGAATATTTCCTTATAATGTAAAAATCTGTAAGATGGTCGGCTGATTTGTTCTAGTAAAACAATGACTACTGGATTGAACCAGATAGTAGTACAGACGTCATAATGTTGTGAATGAAATCTGGGAACTATGACTTAAGAAGAAATTAACTGACTATGAAGTCATCTACTCTTAATAGTAACTTGAATAAACATTAACTCACGATCACAAAATGCATAAATAAACAGAGAGAGAACCAACATGTAACAGTCAACACAATAATATATGGAAATTAGCTGGACTCACTTTGCTGTCTCAACGTATTTTACCATCGTATTAATATCAATTTTTCGACACTGAGTGTTATTAAGTGACTTTTGAGAACCACTCTGAAAATAATGTATGATTCGACAAATAATTTACTTACGTTTGGTTGTTGGTTTGATAGAAAAACAACAGTATCACGCTCCTTCTTAAAGTAATAAATTCGACAAGAAGCTTGTAATCCATCTCTTCCAGCTCTACCTGATTCTTGGTAGTACGCCGCCAAACTTTTAGGTAGAGTCCAGTGAAGAACGAATCTTTGGTTTAAAGAAAATCTCGAAATATAGAGAGCTATTAATTATTTATAAAATATATTTTGGTATAACCTATATGTGCATTTCGCTTTTTAGAAAATTTAGAAGTGTTATGGAAACAATTTACTTACAAGCTATTATCTGTCCCGACTAGTTCGATCATCAACCAATGACGATATCAAAGTAAAAAAGTTATAGGAATTTTATCGTTGTTTAAGGATAAAACATCAGAAGCGTTAAAACTGCTAAGGAAATAATAACTAGGTCAAAAGAACTATGAATGCATTTTCGATCGTCACTTAACACTCAATACCTAAGTTAGTATAATATCAAGTGTTATGTATTAGGAATGTAAAACGTCCTTGTTTTATCTAAACTTATTGTAAAATTACATCAATTAATTTCACAGATATTAGCCTTTTCTTGAGAGATATAGTCCACTTGTATAGTATACACTGGTTGTACTGTGTTAGATGAAGACGTTGGCAACTTAAAGTGTCTTTTGAGCATTTTGAATATCGATGTAATATCTGAATTAGTTTGTTATTTTTTGCATGTGAAATGCGATATTATTAGTTAGCATTACAACAATACACAACCACATGGAGTGAAGTAAAAATGTGTTGATGCGAGGTCGGTAGTAAGGTCATAGCTTATTAGTAACAGGGCTAGTGTCTTAAGCGATAGGATGTCCGAGCCAAACTTCACTGACTTCGGTATAATCATCTGAGCCGAATCACCACTGTTCCTTCTTAAAGTACAAATTGAATCCAAATACATGAACCTATATTTGGTAAATGAGTCACATTAAAAATTAGTTTCGACCAATTTACGTACTTTAAGAGTTCAATTATCTCTGTTGACTGGGTGGCCAATCAAAGCTCGCTGTGAACAAGAAATCCTTATTTGATTTATACCGACACATGTCAAGTATGGCATAGTTTAAGCGTCCAAAAAAGCGAGTAACGGCTGTGTTTTTAAAACCTCAATTTCAGTGGGGCCACCCTGTGATAAATCTTGGGACAATGATGATGGAAATGTGAATCATGCTGTCACGAATATTCTATTGTTGTCCGTATGTTTTTGTCTGGTTTCGCAATAAGTTGAAAAAGAATATTAGTATCAAGACAATCATATGACGTCGATTCAGGAAAACAATGACTATTACGTATGGGAACTTTAAGAGTAATACTTGAGAAACGCCATTTGTTCCCTCACGATCCTAGAGCCGACGAGAATTGTTGGTTTGAAATCAGGTTTTTCCGAATCTTTAAGGATGGTGGTCCAATTTTAGCGATTAGGTTGACTAATATTTTAGCTAAGATCTGGGAATTAGACTTTATCCCATCTGACTGGTCGCAATCACTCATCGTCCCAATATATAAGAAAGGGTCAAAATCATCCTGTGACAACCACAGAGGGATTAGTTTAACAAACATAGTATCTAAAATACTGGCCTCGATAATTATCAGACGCCTAACTAAGACTCGTGAACTACAAACTCGAGAGAACCAAGCTGGCTTTAGACCTGGTCGTGGCTGCATCGACCACATATTCACCATTCGTCAGGTTCTAGAACACAGGCATACCTATCGGCGTCCGACGATGGTGGTCTTTCTTGACTTAAAAGCAGCGTTTGACTCTGTAGACCGCGAGACTCTGTGGCAGTGTCTGTCATTGAAAGGCGTACCTCAGAAGTACATAAACCTTGTGAAGGCTCTTTACTCGAACACTACTAGTCGAGTGAGAGCTTATGGCGAACTGTCATCTACTTTTGCAACTTCAAGTGGTGTCCGTCAAGGCTGTCCACTTTCTCCATTTTTGTTTAACTTCATCATAGACCTATTGATGGAAATAACACTCTCGTCGACTGAATTCTCGGGTATTGATCTCCTTCCAGGAGGTCCACTTATCGACTTAGAATACGCAGATGATATAGTCCTGTTTGGTGAAGACGCTGACAAAATGCAGAGTCTTCTGGTAGCACTAAGCAACAATGCCAGGATGTTTGGAATGCGCTTCTCTCCCTCGAAATGCAAGTTGTTGCTTCAGGACTGGTGTGCGTCAACACCTGAACTAAGGATAGGGAGTGAAGTAGTCGAACGCGTCGACAACTTCACTTATCTTGGAAGTCTGATCAGCCCTAATGGGTTGGTGTCTGACGAAATCTCAGCACGGATTCGAAAAGCTCGTTTGGCTTTTGCCAACTTACGTCACCTTTGGCGGAGGCGAGATATCCGTCTATCAATAAAAGGACGAGTATACTGCGCGGCAGTCCGTTCTGTCTTACTTTACGGCAGCGAAACATGGCCTTTAAGAGTAGAAGACACCCGTAAGCTACAAGTATTTGACCACAGATGCCTTAGAAATATTGCTGGCATCTGCCGGGATCACCGGGTAAGTAATAGTGAGGTTAGACGCAGGGTATTAGGGAATGATGGTAAATCAGTTGATGAGGTTGTGAATCTTCATCGACTGAGATGGTTGGGCCACGTATTACGTATGCCTGAACACCGATTACCACGACGTGCAATGCTAACCGGTGTAGGGGTTGGTTGGAAGAAAGTTAGGGGCGGCCAAACCAAAACGTGGCATCAGTGCTTGAAGTCACTAACTTCTAGTCTGAGCCATGTTGGTAGATGCAGACTACTTGGTTGGGGTCCGCGTGACTATCGTAACCAATGGTTGGAGACTCTTGGTGACATGGCTCAGAATCGATCACAATGGCGTCGGTGTATACACTCCCTGTCTTCTCTTAAACTAAGAGATTAAATCACTTCATATCTTTCTTTCTACGAACTAATTCTTCCTTCCTATACTATATCCTTATTGCAACCTTTGACCTAACCACTCCTATGAATCCGGTGTTCATCTTGTTGTGCTAATGAGGTATGGCAACCTGGACCGATGCACATATGTGCCTGGTCCTACGTTGTAGCTGGCTGGCTGGCTGGGCTGAATCCCCTAGGTGGGTCCTTCAATCCACCAGTGCAGTTAAAGCGCCGGACATTCACTTTTCATCTTTTCGACTTCGTAAACAATCCCGCTAGGAGACAGTAAGTGCCCCTTCTGACAACCAGAGCGACCATTTATTTAGGTACATAGAATGTTCGTACAATGTGGGACACCGAGAGAGCCTTCCAAATTGCTGCAGAAATGAGGAGATACAACCTAGAGGTGCTTGGGATCAGTGAAACATTTTGGACGCAAGTTAGTCAACAACGACTAGCTTCAGGGGAGCTTCTGTTATACTCCGGCCATGAAGAAGAAAATGGTCCACATACACAAGGACTTGCATTGATGCTGTCCAAACAAGCACAAGACGCACTTATAGGATGGGAGTCTCATGGACCAAGGATTATCAAAGCCTCCTTCAAAAAAAGAAAGAGGGCATTTCAATGAACATCATCCAATGCTATGCGCCTACCAACGATTACAATGAAGACGCTCAAGATCAATTCTACAATAGGCTGCAGTCAATCATCAAGAAGTGCCCAACAAAGGACCTGACCATTCTGATGGGAGATTTCAACGCCAAGGTTGGAACGGACAACACTGGATAGGAAGACACCATGGGACGACACGGACTGGGAGAAAGGAACGAAAATGGCGAGAGATTTGCAAACCCATGTGCCTTCAATAAACTGGTCATAGGCGGCACCATATTCCCACATAAACGCATTCGAAAAATCACATGGACTTCACCGGATCACACTACGCAAAACCAAATCGACCATATCTGCATCAACAAAAAGTTCAGGAGGACGATGGAAGACGTGAGAACCAAGAGAGGAGCTGATATAGCATCAGATCATCACTTGCTGGTCGCCAAGATGAAATTGAAACTCAAGAAGCACTGGACAATGGGGCGGACAATATCACAGAAGTTCAATACGGCCTTTCTTCAGGATACTAACAAACTCAACAAATTCAAGATAGTCCTCAGCAACAAGTTCCAGGCCTTTCATGATCTACTCAATGGAGAAGGAACTACTGTGGAGAGCAACTGGAAGGGGATCAAAGAGGCAATCACTTCAACACGTCATGAGGTCCTGGGTCACAAGAAGTACCATCACAAGGAATGGATCACTGCTGATACACTGGATAAGATTCAAGAAAGGAGGAACAAGAAGGCAGCAATCAATACCAGCCGAACAAGAGCAGAAAAAGCCAAGGCACAAGCTGAATACACAGAAGTAAACATGCAAGTGAAGAGGAGCATCAGAACCAACAAACGTAAATATGTGGAAGATTTAGCAACGACGGCGGAAAAGGCTGCAAGAGAAGGAAACATGAGACAGTTGTATGACACGACAAAGAAACTCTCTGGAAATCGCCGCAAACCAGAATGACCAGTGAAAAGCAAGGAAGGCATGTTAATCACCAATGTTGAAGAACAACGAAACAGGTGGGTAGAACACTTCAAAGAACTCTTGAATCGACCAGCCCCACTGAACCCACCCAACATCGAAGCAGCACCCACGGACCTCCCAATCAATGTTGGCCCACCAACAATTGAAGAAATCAGCATGGCCATCAGACAAATCAAGAGTGGCAAAGCAGCAGGATCGGACAACATTCCAGCAGAGGCACTGAAAGCAGACGTAGCGGCAACTGCAAGGATACTCCACATTCTCTTCAATAAGATTTGGGATGAGGAACAAGTACCAAAAGACTGGAAAGAAGGACTCCTGATCAAAATACCAAAGAAAAGCGATCTTAGCAACTGTGATAACTACAGGGGCATCACTCTTCTCTCAATACCGGGAAAAGTCTTCGACAGGGTATTGTTAAACAGGATGAAGGACTGCGTAGACGCCCAACTTCGTGACCAACAGGCAGGATTCCGTAAGGATAGATCGTGTACAGACCAAATCGCAACTCTACGGATCATTGTGGAACAATCAATTGAATGGAATTCACCACTCTACATCAACTTTATTGACTACGAAAAGGCATTTGATAGCGTGGAAAGAACAACACTATGAAAACTTCTTCGACACTACGGCGTACCTCAGAAGATAGTCAATATCGTACAGAGTTCATATGATGGATTAAACTGCAAAATTGTGCATGGAGAACAATTGACAGATTCGTTCGAAGTGAAGACCGGTGTTAGGCAAGGTTGCTTACTCTCACTCTTCGTCTTTCTCCTGGTGATCGACTGGATCATGAAGACGTCAACATCTGAAGGGAAGCACGGGATACAATGGACATCTAGGATGCAGTTGGACGATCTAGACTTCGCAGATGATCTGGCCCTTCTATCCCAAACGCAACAACAAATGCAGGAGAAGACGAAGAGTGTGGCAGCAGCCTCAGCAACAGTAGGTCTCAATATACACAAAGGGAAAAGCAGGATTCTCCGATACAACACAGAGTGCACCAATCCAATCACAATTGACGGAGAAGATTTAGAAGATGTAAAAACCTTTACATATTTGGGCAGCATCATTTATGAACAGGGTGGATGTGATGCAGATGTGAAGGCGCGGATCGGCAAAGCAAGAGCAGCATATTTACAACTGAGGAACATCCAGAACTCAAATCAACTGTCAACCAACATCAAGGTCAGGATTTTCAATACAAATATCAAGACAGTTCTACTGTATGGGGCGGAAACCTGGAGAACTACGAAAGCCATCATCCAGAAGATACAAGTGTTTATTAACAATTGTCTACGCAAAATACTTCGGATCAGTTGGCCAGACACTATTAGCAACAACGTACTGTGGGAGAGAACAAACCAGATCTCAGTGAAGGAAGAAATCAGGAAGAAGCGCTGGAAGTGGATAGGACACACATTGAGGAAAGCACCCAACTGCGTCACAAGACAAGCCCTCACATGGAATCCTCAAGGCCAAAGGAAAAGAGGAAGACCAAAGAACACATTACGCTGAGAAATGGAAATAGACATGAGAAGAATGAACAAGAATTGGGTGGAACTAGAAAAGAAGGCCCAGGACAGAGTGGGTTGGAGAATGCTGGTCGGCGGCCTATGCTCCATTGGGAGTAACAGGCGTAAGTAAGTAAGGAGACAGTAAGACGTCCCTGGCAGTGGCTGCATACGTGTGACCATTTGAGAGCATTTTGAGAGGAAGAATGGGCAATTAAGGGCTAATATGAGGCACTTAAAACCACAGAAAAGTCCCCTTTTACGTTTTTTTGGATATGTTGCTGCAAATCACTTGTCCACTGATACTATTTGATTCCTTAATTCTTCTGTTAGTTATATGGAGTCCTTAAATACAACATATGAGAAGTGAATCTATATTAATAAATATGAATTTCTGTTACAATAAATTGTTCCTCACTGACTGCTTATGAACCTTCGATGCACTTTCATAATGACTTTTATTTGGTGAAAAATACTCAGTCTATGAGTCCTAATCACTAATTGATATATAAACGACTAACCTCAGTGTACTTTCGACTGATCTACTAGGGCCATTATCCATACGCTTCAATTACTAAACTAGTGTTTTTGTTGTAGTTGCTGAATCAAGGAAGGATAGAATAGAAGTGATCTCGTTCATTTCATTAAAGTCAGCGTTTCAAAATATTAACATAGTTCAAGGAAGTATAATTCTCTTTCAGTTCTTGACTGCTTTTCGAACCATGTTTTTTATTCATCCTCCTTATCGATTTCCTTTCGCTGTGTTATTTTGTTTGGTACGCGATTTTCATCGGTCAATAAGCTGTTTTGTCACCAATTCTAACCAAACTCGGTTGAATTACTGTTGAAGGTAGTGTACACTGTAATCCGCATTGGTTACAGTGACGAACACAAAATGTAAAAACATTTTCCGTAATGTCTATATATATATATATATATATATATATATATATATATATATCCTAATCACCTTAACGCCGAATTTGTATTTTAACGGAAGCTAGCGAAAATGAAAACAGGTAGAGTAGTTTTAAAAACAGGTTTACAAATAATGAATATGACGGTTTAAACTGACCTCACATTTGGTTTATCGACACCCATTCCAAAACTTATGGTAGCAACTACTATTGGATACAAACCGGAAGACCATCCCGTTTGGACGTCTTCTCGCTCAGATTTAGACAACCCTGCGTGGTAGGCCCGTGAAGACAATCCAAGGGAAGTTAACTTTTCTGCCAATCCCTCACAATCAGTACGCGTTCGACAGTAAACGATACCACATCCAAGTTTTGTCTAATCGGAGAGATTACTACGCGATACTAAATGGAAGGCTTACCCAATCACATTTTCGAGACTTGTCCCAACCGATACTTTCGGCAGCGAATTGCAAGACGTCAGCATATACGTCATCAAGTAAGTCACCAAACACAACGTCATAGTAGAGATTTGGCCGGAAAATACTGCATTTGAATTCCTCTAAGTTACCGGCAAAACCAAGTGAACTTATAGGAGAGTAATTCGAAAGTTCACCAAGTCCCAAACATTTGATGATATCCTCACGTACACGAGGTGTAGCAGTTGCAGTAAGTGCTATGCATGGTACGGCTGGGAAAAGTTTGCGACGAATCCTTCCCAAAGCAAGATAAGCAGGCCTAAAATCATGTCCCCATTCTGATACACAATGTGCTTCGTCAACAACGAAATAACTTAAACATGACTTTTCGTATAACTGACAAATAAGGGAAGAGGAAAAAGGAGTTTGTAGCTGTTCAGGAGTTATGTACAGAAGTTTAGGGTACGATTTTGAACCAAGTGGCGTGCTCATCAGCTGATGAAACAGTTTGCGCCTTTGTGTGTCCGCTGTTCTCGAGTTAATGGTTTCTGCCTGAATGTGAAGTTTTTTTAAATGTGTTAACTGGTCACTTATGAGAGCAAGAAGAGGTGAAACAACGAGCGCGACACCCGGATGCATTACGGATGGGAGCTGAAAGCAAAGTGACTTTCCAGAACCTGTTGGCATTGAAATAAATACATCGTTTTTTCCTAAAAACATCAAGTTATGTTGCGCAGCTTACCCTCGAACACAGAAAGTGTTGCTTGTTCCTGCAACCTGGACTTAAAGTTTTTGAGCTTAAAAATGTCATTTAACGCAGTATATACACCATCTTGGCTGGGTCTTGCCATTTTATGAACCGTGAAGCAAGCTCACAACATAATTGCAACAGCTGTAGTAACGACTCATTCAAAGTGAGCGGTCCCCCACTAAATAGCTTTCGTTTCAAAAATAAAAGAATTACTAATCTGCATTACTATCCACAGTTCACATTGCATAATATTAGAAATCGGTAACTTTCTAAAATTCTGATATCATGTGGTCCAACCGGCAATCCCCTTATTTCATGGCTAGATGTGAGATATAAGTCTTAAGATTAGATTATTGGGTGCTTTATGTGCTTCTGCTAACACTCTTGTTGAAGTAAATTGGAAATTTAAGTTCGGTACTAACTTTTGAACCTCATAAAATTTGTACTAAATCTAACTACTAGGTAGATATCGTTCTGCACAACGAGACAACTTACGATCCAGAAGGATGACTCAGGTATTCAGTGTTTGACAACGCTTCTACCAGTAACACCTAATATGATTTGTACACACTGAGAGAAATCAAAAGACAGGGTCGAGTAGATCGGAAGAGTATATTTGGCGAAGACCAATATATCGGAATTCTCTGATCTAATCTGGCTAGCGATTGCAGTAGCAGTTGAGCGCGGCGTTACCACACGTGATCTGGTGCGGATGCCTGACCAAGCGCCTTCAGCTAGATGAGTCCACTAAAACATATCGTCAGCATCCAATGTCGAAGACTTACAGGGCTATTTATTTTGGGGATTTATTTACCGCTAGAGATCACCCCCCCCTAGTGGGTCAGTGATGACCCTTAGACGTGGCCAGCCAGAAGTTTAAACCCAGCGAGTTTGTCGTTGATAAACACTCTACTGATAGCTTGCTAGGATTAGCAGCGCCTGGTTGTCTTTCCTTACTATATGGGACCGAGGTACAACATAGTAAAAAAAGAAAATGTAGAATGAAAATTTCAGCTCCTCATAAACGTCATCGTTCTTTTCCAGCCGTCCTGGAAAAGAAAAAAGAAAATGTAAGTGCATGTCGAAATACACTCGTATGTGCGTAAAAACACAATGTCGGCGAAAAAATTGTAATATAAACTAATTTACACGTAATATCGTTAGAAAAAAATTTATGATGTTTTTTGTTGTTTGGAATAAAAATAAAAATATATAAGCATATAAAATTGTTTTTTTTAAAATATATTATATATCGTTAAAAGAAAGATCGAGATAATATTAAATGTCTAGTAGTGCCTTACGTGCAATAGTCGTTTAAATGCTCTGGAAATCTAACTCTTCTTCCAGAACGCGTCGTTTTAAGTTTATATTCAGATACATTCGGAGTAACATCGCGTGTGTTGGTTGTCGGATGAGGTATTATAAGTCTCGGAGTCGTGTCGTTCGATTGTACCGAAGGAAAATCGACGTAGATAGGATTTCCTTCTAAATACGCTGCTTTGCTGATGCTATCGTTGGTTCCGTTCTTATCGATTATATAAACTCGATGAACGAAAACGTGTGTACTATATCGTAAGTCAGGTTGAACAAAAACATCGGTTGATTGAGGTCGAGTGGAAGCAGCTTTAACTGAACGCATTGCGTTTGTAAGCCTGTTCGTGTAGGAGGTTAGATCCATGTTCATTGAAAAGGAAGGAGGATCCACGAATTCTCCTGGAAGTCGAAGTGTTGTTCCATAAACGAGTTGAGCTGCAGTGTATCCAATGTCAGCTTTCACTGCACTGCGGATACCTAGTAAGACGAGTGGAAGAGCGTCGGTCCACTGTGAAACGTTTGCAGCTGGTAGTGAAGCTTTTAGTTGTCGGTGAAAGCGTTCTACTAACCCGTTTGCTTGTGGGTGGTAGGCAGTCGTTCGTAAGCGAGTGGTTCCTAAAAGTGTGGTCAGACGACGGAAAAGATCGGATTCGAACTGACGTCCGCGGTCTGTAGTGATGGTTGAAGGGCAACCGAAGTTTGCTACCCATCGTTCGACGAAGGCGCGGGCCACTGTTTCAGCAGTGATGTCCTTGATAGGTACTGCTTCTGGCCATCGAGTGAAATGGTCTACGTAGGTTAAGAGGTAAGAGTATCCATTTGAATCTGGTAAAGGTCCTACCAAATCCAGATGAACATGGTCGAAACGAGCATCGGGAGTTTTCAATGAGCCTAAGGGACATTTATTGTGTCTGATAACCTTAGATTTTTAGCAGCTTACACAGGAGCGTGCCCACTTCCTCACGTCTTTATTCATGCCAGGCCAGCAAAACCTTTCTGCTATAAGCTTGATGGTTGCACGGACACCTGGATGAGAAGGTTTGTTCAACGTATTGAAGACGTTGCGTCAAGTATGTTTAGGCACGATTGGGAGATCCCTACTTGTAGATGTGTCACACAGTAAGGTTTCCTTACCTGTTCCCATCTGTTTGATGCGTAGTTTAAGTGTTGTGGACGATAACTCGTGCTGAAGATCAGTGTCTTCTTTTTGAAGCTCGGCGAGTTTAAGAAGGTCGATTCCTTGGAAACTGTTCAAGGAAGTTATGCGAGATAAGGCGTCTGCAACTACATTGTTTGCTCCAGAGATGTGTTGAATATCTGAAGTAAACTGCGAAATGTAGTCCAGTTGTCGAGACTCACGGGGAGAGTACTTGTCAGAAGGAGAGCTTAACGAGAAAGTGAGCGGTTTATGGTCCGTGAAAAGAGTGAATTCACGGCCTTCGATATAGTGTTGGAAATGCCGTACAGCACAATACATAGCTAGGAGTTCCCTACCGAATGTGCTGTATCTCGATTCGGTGTCTAGCAACCTTCTAGAGAAAAATGCCAAGGGTTGCCAGGAGTTGTTAACCGATTGTTGTAAGACGCCACCGATTGCCGAGTCCGATGCGTTTACTGTGATACTAATGGGTGCTTCGGTGTCCTGATGTGCGAGCACTGTTGCTTTAGCAATCAGTTCCTTAACTGTGGAGAATGCTTTTCGTGCGGTGTCGTCCAAATTAATCGATTTCGCATTTCCACGAAGTTGGTCGGTAAGAGGTTTCATGAGTAATGCGCATTTCGGTATGAAACGTCTATAGAAACTTACGAGGCCGTTAAACGTGCGTAATTGCTTGACGGTGGTCGGTTCTGGGTCATCCAGAATGGCCGCCACTTTGGTCCTAAGAGGTCGAATGCCTTGAGCATTGATAGTGTGTCATAGGAAGTCTAACGAGACGGTCCCGATTTGGCATTTCTGAATGTTTACAGTAATGCCATGTTTTTGTAGTCGGTCGGAAACAAGATACGAATGTTTGAGATGCGATTCTCTGTCCAGACTTGCGATTAGGCAGTCATCAACATACGCATGTACGAAGTTGAGACCTCGAAAAACGTCGCCTATGAACCTTTGGAATGTTTGGGCAACATTTCTTAGACTGAAGAGCATTCGCAAAAATTCATAGAGTCCAAAGGAATTAATGACGGCTGTTTTCGGTATATCGTCAGTAGCCATAGGGATTTGGTTATACGCTTTAACCAAGTCGATTTCGAAAAGACAGTTGTACCTTTCAAGGTAGCTGTCGAATCGTGAATGTGAGCCAACGGGTGACGATCGGGAATGGTTTTCGCATTCACTCGCCGATAGTCGCCAGTTGGACCCCAATCGTTGCTGTCCTTTTTAGGGACCATGTGCAACGGAGATGCATATGGGCTACTTGACGGTCGTATGATTCCTAAGTCCATCATGTGAGCGAATTCGTTTTTCGCTAACCTTAGTTTTTCAGGAGCTAGTCGTCGTGCTTTAGAGAATACAGGTGGCCCTTTAGTCGTGATGTGATGTGTAACATTGCTAGTTACACACGGTAGCTTTGGTTGCGTTTGGTGTATCCCAGGATACTTATAGAGTAGCGGTTGACAGAATGGGTCTATCGTATGCTTAATTGTGACTGGGGATAATTTGCAACCAGAAAAGGAAGTTACGCAAACGGACAATATAGTGTTTCCGTCTACTAGCCTCCGTTTGCGCGTATCGATGATTAGATTATGGTGCTGTAGAAGGTCCATACAATGATTGGCATAGAAACATCTGCAACAACGAAAATCCAGTGGATGGGTTTGCGTAAACCCACGTTAAGGTGAACGTACCTTTTGCCATACGTAGCGATCGGTTTTCCGTTTGCCGCCTGTAAATTTAGAGCCGAATCTTGAAGCCGATCGTTCGGATTCGCTGGGAGAACGCTAACTTCTGCGCCAGTATCGACGAGGTAGCGAACTCTCGTTGTCACATCTGCGACGTATAACAGACGGCTATGTTCGCCGGCTACGGTTGCCGTTAACGCGTGCCGGCTTGAAAGTTTCCCGAGTTGTTTTTCAAGTCACTCGGTTTCGTGTTGGGAAAATTGCAGGGTTTTCTGCAATTTCTTGAAGACTTTCCATACTGGTTGTGATACCAGCACCAGTCGGGATTATCCGTCTCTCGTGGTCTAGAGACAGATCGCTTACGTGAAATGCTTTTACGTGGGGTGTACGAGCGATTACGGTCGTTACGAAAATTAAGATGACGTGTAAGTGTATTACATAACTCGGTTATGTCGTTCTGAGTCGTTTGAGGCTTTTCTTTGACTGAAAAAACCTCGGTAGTAGATTTCGTAATTTCTAAAATGCGGTCAGCAGATGCAGCTAGTTTGTCTAAGGCGTTGTTTTGAAACGAGACAAGCACAGCTTGCACCTCTAAATAAGTATTATTCTTAAGATTACGAAGTTTGTAATTAAGACACTAACTTGTGTTACACTTAAATTAACTTCTCAGACCTGTTTTATATTCACTATGCATATATGTCCCATTCATATTGATATTTTATTATCCTTTTCATTTAATTGTAACTTTCATAGCATCACTCTAAACTATAACTGCACAAACATTTATTCTAGCGTCATATCTTGCTGCAATTATAAGTTATTATTTCTTAATTATTTTTTGTCACTAATTTAACGATACACACACAGTCGTTTATTCTTGTTCTGTGTTCGTAAACATGCCTATTAAACTGTTTGCGTATTTCACGTCTCTCTTATTTCTATTCCCTTATTTTCTCCATTTTCTTCTTTAAACTCGATTCAATATTCTTCTCAATCGCACAGACCCGATTCAT